TATTATACCTTCTTTACAGTATTTACTTGAAAAATACGGACTCGTTTTCCTCCTATCCACTTGTGTTTGTGGGATAGTGTCTTCTGTAAAGAAATAATAATTTGGATTAAAAAGGAAAGGAAAAACCCAAGTACCCTGCTGTCACAATTCATACACCATTCCCACTTTATGTTGTGATGGAAATACAAGGATTTCTTGTAGGAGAGAACACAAATGTGCTTTAGAGCCATTCCAGTACTGCTCTGCATTTCAACTCTACCAAAATTCCTCAGAAGATAAACCATTACTGTGTCACAGCCTAAGGAAACAGGTAAAACGACAGTCAGGGATCAGGTGTTGCACACACACTCTGGCACAACAAACAAGCTAAAACCAGAACCCCTGGCAGCACATTAGGATTGCATCCTGCCCAAAACCACACAAATCTCTGGCAATAACTGCTGTGAAGCTTTTCTTGTCACATGGCTACAAGACATTAGCACCGTTTCCAGTGTCAGATTTAAAACCCTGGTTACCTGGATTCCCTCGATTTGTCCTTTTCCCCGTTCTCACTCCACTGGTTTTCTCCTCGGATTCTGCGGAAGATGCACTGCTGGGAGCTGTCTCTGCCTGCTCCTCCCCTGCCAGGCTCTCACACTGCCCCCACGAGCGAGCCGTCGCTGACCGAGGCTGCGTGGTTGACCTGGAGATCCTCAACGGGGCTTTCCCTGCGTCCGTGGCGTCTGCATCCCGATCGCCTGCGCCCTGACCATCAGCACCACACGCGTCCGCCTTTCTACGGAGCTTCTTGTTCTGAACGCACTCAGTTTCCTGTTCGTTACGTGCTCTCCTCTGCCTTTTGCTCTGGGTATTATCGCGATTCCTCTTTTCTGAGCTCTTTACAGTTTTCTTGTTCTGAAGGCTTTTTCCACCTCCCACCTTCTTCTTGGTTTTCAAACAGTCCTCTGGGTCTGTGCCTTTCATGACCAAATCTCTATTTTCCAGCATGGATGTAATGTCTCCCAGGTGTTCATTTCCAGTCTGAATGTTTTGAGTTCTGTCCTCTGCACCACTTTGTGTACAATCCTCATTCTCTAAAACCCCTCCTGCAGCTTTGGTGCTGCATGTTTTCACCCTCAAACGGGTTCTCCTCTGACAAGAAGCTCTAAAATCAAAGTCTTCTACTTTTAGGGTTGTCTCCCCAGTTTTCTGAAAATACTTCACAAGCGCATTTTTCGATCTTAGCTTGTGTCCTTCCGGGCTGCGGTATCAAAGAGAAGTAAATTAGCAAGGACTTCTTCATTCTCTCGCTCTTTGCTTACAAAACTGCTCTGGTGTGTCAAAACCCCAAATGTCAACAACAGCTGGCGGGGTGGTGTCTAGGCAAGTTTCTGTCACTTGACCAAAACCGGAGAGCTCACAGATAATCGCACACAGAGAACACACTGCACGTCCCGAGCTCCGAGCACGGCACACACACATGTTCACAAGTGAGCACATGCATGTTCACATGCAAGTACACACGTGTTGTACTGGGCGGGGAACCGCAGTTTGCCCAGGGCCAGCGGCGCTCAGCCCCCGTTTCCAGGAGCCTCCCTCGAGCCCCCCGGCCTCACCTGATGAAGCAGACGTCGAT